CCAAGGAGGTGCCCCTGCTCCTGGTTTCAGTCATGGGGAAGGACCAGGGAGCTCCCTGCTGGGACTGGCATCAGAAAAGCCTCTGCCCAGTTGCAAGCCAGCTGCTTCCTCAGGAATGAGCAGCAGAGGTTTCTCTGGGCAGCTGTTTCTTTATCTTAAAGTGATTTTTCAGGGACATTTCAGTGGCTAGATATAGGCTTGTGCCCTCAAAACGCGCAGCAAAGCTGTCAGTGAGCGGTGCAGAAGGGAGCTGGGGGCGGAGGGGGCAGCTGGCAGCAACACGTCTTCCTGCGGCAGGGAGCAGAGCTGGTCCGGGGGCGGTTTTATCAGCGGTCTCTGCTTTGCAGGTGTGTGGAAAAGAGTATAACAAACTCGCTCTCCCCTTTTCCTGCCCTTTTTAATTTCTGATCTTTCTTCAGACGTTCAGATTTCTTCATCAACCAAGATGATTAAAAAGGATGTTTAGAAAGAAGAAAGTTGTTTTACGCACAGCTTTCTGTTGTTGGCTCTGTTAGGATGTGCTGGCCAAAACCTCATACTCTTTGGTCTGGCAAGTTGTTCCCAGGCTCCAGAAATGATGCTGTTCCTCACTGGAGTCAGCCCCAGACCTTCGGATAATTATTGGTGAGAAGAGCCAGGCAGGGATAAGAAACCCCAGCTTTCTCCTGGGCCACAGGCAGAAGCCTTGTGGTTGGGAATCTGGGTTGAGACCCTGAATTGGAGCAGCTCTCCAACTGTGCTCTGTGGCAGAATTAGTTACAGATTAATTAATTCATTAATTATTAATTACAGCGTGTGCGCGCATGTCGGGGTGTCGCAGGAAGGACTGTTGTGAAGGGTGATTACAAAGTGCAGGACAAGCTGCCTCTTGGTGCAGATGGTTGAAGTGTCAGCAGTGATGCACAAAGTGCTCCTGTTATGGAGTGGTTTTATGCTTAATGTTCTTTCGTTTAAAGGGTCTGAAAAATTAAACACTTTCCATCACAAGGGTGTAGCGAAGCCCTTTTTACTTTGGCTCCCTCTGTGCTCTCTAAAAGATGCTTGGTGTGAGTGCTGGGCTCGCTTGGGCGGCAGTGGCTGTGCCAAGAGCTTTGCACGTTGGAGGTGAGAAATGGTTTTAATCGTTTGCAAAGGGGAATTTCCCTGGAGTGGCCTGTGCAGCCCTGGCAGCCAGGGCTTTTCTGTGGCTCCCTGGGCTCCAGGAGGTGGTTTTCCCATGGTAGCAGTGCCCGGTGCTGCCTGGCTCACCGTTCAGCCGTGCTGCTCTCCTTCCTGCCTCACTAAACCCTGTTGTATTTTCTCTTGCAGATTTTCCGACGAGCCGACAAGAACGGTGAGTGCTTTGTTCCTGCCGCTGCGTCCCCCTCCCTGCCTGGGTCTGGGCGAAGCAGCGCAGCCTGTCCCTGCTGGGAGGTTTGGCTGAAAGAGTGAAGGAGCATAAGGGCAAGCAGCTCTCCGGCTGCAAGAAAAATGCTTTTCTGCTCCTCCTTGAGGAAAAGGCACTGGAGCAAAGGGCCAGTCCAGGGGCTGGGGAGGTGGGCTCCCCCAATTCACTGTCCACATGACCTGCAGGACAGAGCCCCTTCCAAGCCCTTCTCCTGCCTGCATGCACATGATCTCCGCTCTGCGCTGCTAGCAATGAGAAGGCAAGGCAAGCCAAGCTGTGCAGCAGGCAGCCCAGGGGCCATCAAGCTTCTGCTCTGTCCCTTGCAGGGCTGATTCAGTCTCCGCGCTCAGTCCGGGGTTTTACAGGTGCCCTCGATTGGGTGGCCCTGTTCCTGGGCACCCACTGGAGACTTAGGCTCTGCTACCTGGTTTTTAATCTGGCACCCATAAACCAAGAAGTCCAAAATCACAAGTTGTTTCTCTGAGCCTTCCACCTCCTCTTGGGCTCTTCTCCTTCATGGAACTTGCAGGCTCCAGGAGCTGCTTTTGTTGCAGGTCAGAATGCAGCCCAGGTCCTCCACAGAGAGGAAGGAAAAAATCTCTTGAGATTTTCTTTCCATGAAAACCCGATGCTGTCCTCACTGTAGTGTTTGTAATGAACTCTATACTTGGACAGTCATCTGTGTCCACATGTGCTTCTGAAAATATTGCAGTCGGTCTTTTGGAAGGGGCTGAAATTCCCACCTGAAATTCCAGCAGCGGTGGCGCTGCTTGCCAGCACGCCTGGGTTTTTGATGGGGACTGGTGGGACACGCTTTCAATGAGATACTGCTCTAATTATAATGCACAACACGCCCAACCGTCCCACGCTCCCGGTAGAGAGGCTGCTGGGAGGATCGCTGGGGTCTGTATGCTTCTTTCTGCAGATATATAATTATTCTTCCCTTTTATTTAAATGCAGATGATGGGAAGCTGTCATTTGAGGAGTTCAAGAACTATTTCGCTGATGGGATCCTGAGCTCGGAGGAGCTGTGGGAGTTATTCAGTGGCATTGACAGGCGTCATTCAGAGTAAGTACCGTGGTGGCACAGAGGAGACGAAGGAGAATATAAAACTGCTTGACTGTAGATGGAGGACATTTGGAGGCGGGTGCGATAAATAGTCAGGGTGAGATAAACCTACCTCTTGTGACACGCAGATGTTAAAACCCATTGAACACCAGCATTGGTGAGGAGAGAAGCCAGACATTTTGAGAACAGTCGTTATCAGATTTACTGTAGTTCCTTAAAAGCAAGCTTCCATTTAAAATTACATTACGTTAGTTTGAAAAATGTATTCCAGAAATATACAGCTCTATAGAGCAGGTTGTGTATGTGCAGGAGGAGCATGTGGTGGTGTGAGGACGATGCGCAGACTGTGCAAAGTTGCAGACTTTGCCACTGCTGACACAGGGAACTGCTTTTCACTTACGTAAGAGCTACTTTCCACTAGAAGTGGGCCTTACCAGTGTAACTGTGAATTTAGGACAGCTACTTTTAAAAAAAGAAACCCCCAAAGAACAGGAGAAGTAATTGCACTTAGCCCTGGTCTCCTCTTGATTGGTGCTACCCAGAAGAATCTGTTGGGCTCAGCTGGGTTTCTCATCCCAGTCTTTCGGGGGTCCTCTTGCTGGGGTTCCTCTGCCCTGCCAGCTGCTGTGAACAAGTGTGTTTTGGCACTGGGAGAAACTGGCCATTGATGAATTGTGTGTCGGAGCATGTCCGTGTGCAGAGGGGTGCTGCTGGGGGAGAAGCTGGCTGCAGCTGTCTCCCAGTCTCGGATGGCAGGCTCGGCTCGGGGTCGTGCCGCTTCCCTGGCACCCCAGGAAGCGTCTCCTGCACCTCTCTGATGGCCTTGGCCAGGGCAGTGTCTGAGCAGGTCCCTGCAGGGAGAGGTAACTCGAAGTGGCCTTAGCTGCATGCACTGGTTCCCAGGGCTTTGCAGGGAGAACAGGGCAGTGGCACAGAGGGCCCGTGCCATGCTGAGATGCCAGCAGCCACCGCATGCCACTGAGCCACTGGCAGCAGATACCCTGCGGTCCCTGGCTGCAAGTCCCCACATCATCCACCCAGGACTGGGGGAGTGGGGATGATTGACTCCTGTCGACTGTCGGGGTGGTGGGTTTAGCTGATGCTCCTGTTTAGTGATGGGACAGAGAAGTGGACTTGTGTGTGCAGCCCCTCGTGCCGCTTTCTTTTAAGCCTGGCTGCCCGTTGCTGCCTGTCCTGCCCGTTGGGCTTGTTAGATGTGCGCAGCAGGAGGTGTCTCCTTTGGGCTGTGATCCCAAGGAGTTAGCAGTGAGCTGTTCCCTTTCCTCTGCAAGTGCTCCTTTCCTCTACCTCTGTTTTGGGGTGACCTTGGAGTGTGTGTCCCCCCCCTACAGTACTACTGGAAAACAGGGGTTGCAGAAAAGCAGAGAGTTTTAGCCTTGTGCTTAACTGAACGGTGAAGATCTCCTGGTTTACTATCGCTTTCAGGTTGGGCTTCTTCCATCTGTCCAGAGCAGATAAACAGGACTGACGGCAGGGCCCTGTGCGAGCGGGCTGTCTCTGAGAGCCTTGCACGGCCCTGGCTGCCCAGTGCTCTCTATAACTCGTTACACGTAGTGACGGTGCGGTAGCTATGACAACGTGGCAGTTGCAGCGTTGAGCTGGTGACATCTATTAGCAGGGCGCGACCGTTGGGTCTTTGATCTCTTTCTGTCACGAAGAGCAGAAAGGACCCCGCGGACGGAGCTGGTTTCCAAATTCCTGCGTTCAGTGACTTCAAACAAGCGTAGGAGATGACATCCCTCCAACCCTGTGAAGATCCCTCATTTCTGCAAGAGCAGAAGAGGAAGTCCAGCCCCGAGGCCATTGCAAGGGTAGTTCTTGTTGCTGTCCCTGGTTGGGACGTGGTCCCTGCCCATATGCGCAGGGTCAGTACAGGGGACAGCTTCAGTGTGAGCGGGACGGGACGTGGGAGGTGGCAGCAGGGAACTGTACAGGATTTCTTCAGCTTCATCCCCAGCTCGTGGAGGAGGAGGAGGAGATGGGACCTCCCAGAGAAGGAGCCTAGCACTCAGCTTGTTGTCGAGTAAGAGGCATCCTGCCCTCTGCAAACAACGTGGGGCAGCGCTGTGTCTGCCAGAGTGCTCTGATCCTGACCCAGCGCCTGCTGGGATGAGGGGCTTGGAGAGACAGGCCTGTCCCCAGGGAGGCATGACCCCATCTGTCCCCAGGGACTGCTTGTGCACCGCACAGCGGCAGGTAATGGAAATCAAGCAGTGTTCAGCGCGTTGGGCCTCGTAGAGGTCTCGGTGGCTCTGTGTGTAGAGCTGGACTTTCTGACATTTGTTTTTGGGGTGTGAAGGGGAATTTGCTCCTTTGTATGACCTCTGGTGTCTTGTAAGGGCTGTGCTGGTGCCCTGCTGTCCCCTTGATGGCAGGGCTGGACAGCCCCTCTCCTCCAGGCTGCCTGCGTGCCTTGCACTTGCAGGAACTTAATATTTTTGAGAGCTGGCTGAAATTTGCTGTCAGATTCAAGAGTTATTACCTGAGGTAACACTCAAAGTATTACAAAGCTGGAAAGCAACTACAAGCTCTACAAACGTTATCTGGCGTGCTTCTTTCATGTCCCATAGCTTTTCCCATGATGGGAAAGTTTCATCCTTAATCCAGTGGGTGGATTTGGCCACAAAGGTGCTGTGTTCATCAGGCCAGGCTGAAACTTGTGTTTCTTTGTCAGTGCCAGACTGACCCAAGAGACCTTTATACGCAGGCACTCCCCATGTCTGGGTAACGGAGTGCTGCCCAGACACGTCCTGACCCTCACCCATCACTGCGAACCTGCAGCTGCTCCCCTGGCTCCCAAAGCTGACATCTGGGAAGCTGAGTATTTCAGAGGTCTCATACGTTACATATTCTCCTTCCGGAGAGCCCATGACACTACACTCTCCTTTTCTCCCCATCCTTCCCATCTGATCTTCGCTCCACCTCCCATCCACCTGGCGCTCAGGTGGGATGCTGTGGCCTGTGCGTCAGGCACCTCTGTTGAGTTCGGTTCGGATTTTACATTCCCACACCAGGCTTTTTTTGTTCTGCATTTCTGAAAATTGTTCCTTTTTGGCTTTAAAATATTTCCTTGCTCTAAATCTTTGACATTTCAAAAATTATATTGAAACCAAAGTAAACTCTTATTGCGATTTGGTACAACAGCTTAGTCCACCGTTTCGTTTAGCTTGTCAGAAAGCTCCACACCAGCTCTGGCACTGGCGCAGAACAGAAAGATTCATCTTTCTGGAAAAGCTCATTTTCATCCACTGAAACGTCTGGGTGAGAAGAAACAAATGTTTTTGAAGGGATGAAAAAGCTTCATTGCTGCAGAAGCAGCTTGGGAGATGCCCAGTGAGGTTTGCTCTTTGAGCAGCCACGCGTCCATCTGCAGCCCAGCCAGGCAGCAGACCCCAGGGTCTGGCGGGAATGACTTAATGGAGAGTCAGTTACAAAGGGCTTTGGACTGAACGCTGTGGTGTTGTGTAGGTTGCATGCATACTGCTTTTTTCAGGGCACTGTGAAACCTGCCCAGGGAAGTGTCGCGTGGACCTCACGTGTCTTTGTCCTGCATCCATTGGGAAAATTTAGAAAAAATAAGGTCTCCTTTGCGTGAGAGTGGTCAGATGGTGGTGGCTGGAACTGGGTACAAACTGCCCAGAGTTGTGTCTCTGACCTCAAGCCACAAGTGACGGAGGTGGGAGTGCTGACCTGGTGTTTTTAAAAAACTCTCAGTGGAAACAACTTCAAGTCTCTGGTTCTGTGGAAGAAGGGACTTGTGTGAATTTTCCTCCCCTCTCTTTAGTCAGAGACTCAGAGCTGTAGCGTCTGCCAGTCTCTGGATGATGGACAGTGACTGAAACACTCTGGGTCACACTGGAAAGGTTTGGAAACCAGATCTGTGATGGCAGCAGAGGTTCCCAACGTGATAAATGATAAAAATAAAAAAATCCCATCTGCTTTGCTGAAGCTGATTGCTGTTTTCTTGCATAAATTCCAGGCACATTCTGACAAAATCCCAACAGCATAATGATGACAAGATCCTTCATCATCAGTTCAAGCTTAATTACAGTTAATCAGTGGTTTGAGCACAGTCAAAATACAGCTATGTGGAAATGTGGAGAGTCTCAGAATGAGTGCTGTGGAGGCAGAGGATGGCTCTTCTCTTGGAGTGGGAGAGGTGATGGCAGAGAGAGGAGTGGAGCAAAGCCTGCCGCCCTGTTGCAGCCCTGCAAAATGGGTGGGGATTTGATGTGCAGGTTCTTTATGTGAGGTCCTCCTGGTTTCTGCTATGCAGTAGCTTCTGGTAACATGAAAATGGCACCGTCGGTCCTGTGATATACGTGCTGTGCTCTGTCCTGCCCCTGACTGTGCCCCAGGGGCTGCAGCAGGATGCAGAACGTGGGAAGAGGTGGCCGTGCAGGGCTGATGGAGCAGGCTGCATTGGGAAGGGAGCAGATCTTCCACTGGACAACTCCGAGGGCTGATTTTTGCCACAAGATCTTGTTGATTGGTTCAATGATTAAATGTTCGGTACTTTAGTGATTGATTAGCTAACGTTTGGTTTTAAGCAGCAAGCAGAGAAGAGAGAATTAATAATCTCTGGCCTCTCCTTAGAAGCCACAGGGTTGGTGTTGGTTGTAGCTCTTTGTCATACAGACGCCTGCTCGCTAGAGCCGAGGTGGGGAGCTGGGCGCTGGGTTCAGCTGGTGGCCCCTTCTTCCTGGTGAAACCAGTCCCAGCCCTAGGTTCTCACTGGGGACAGATGCAAATGCCTGAGTAACGTACACATTAGATGTTTCACCGTGTATTTTGTCATCTCATGTCCATATCCACTCCTTTGTGATTTTTATCCATCTCTGGATGGGAACCAGTGGCTGCAGTTATTACTCTGGGGCACAGGTCTAACGAGCAGTGCTGCGGATGCTGCAGTGCCAAGTCTCCTGTGGCAGTGCAGCAGCAGTGGCTCTGCAGGCTCCAGTCAGCTTTCAGAAATAAGTGGAAAAATTAAGGAGCAAGACATTTTTCCAATTTAAATTTGTACTTCAAACCCCAGTCACTCTATCTAGCAGAGCTGTGGTGGGATGCATGGAGCTACTCAGAGATGGGATCAGCAAAGTTTGATGGAGTGGAGTTGGCAGAAGAAGGGGCTGTGGTTTTGCTGATTATCTGTATTCTGTCTCAAGGGAAACACATTTTTTTTTTTTTACCCACTTTAAAAACTGTCTGCAGTGCCAGGACAGTATGCCAGAGCCCTGCCTTAATCAGCTCCTGCGGTAGGTGTTTAAAATAGATGAGCCAAATCACATCCTAAAACTGCCCGTCTCTGTTGCCTGAGGCAGCGGCTGACGCAATTAGCTAAACAGAGGGGTCTGCAGTCCCACTGCCGCACGTCTGCAATGACATCTCACACCAAAATATTTTCATGATTTGAAGCACTGCCTGTTACTAAAGTTCACTAAGTGGAAGCCCAGCAGAGACACAGAAACTAGTCTTTAATGTTTGGGGGAAAAGCTGTAGGAAGATGTTGCTTAAATTATTACACCTGTTCCCGGCATGGCATTTTGGACACTTCACACACACTCCTCTAATTTTACTTGGGGTGATTTTGTCCCTTTGTCCTGTGAGCAGTGTCAGAGGGGGGACAGGGCGATGCGGCCATGGTTTGACTTCCCTTGAGCAGCAGCGCTGCAGCCATCCTGATGCTTGGAGCCCAGCAGACTCCAGGTATCACCGGTTCCTCTGTGTGTGACAGCACTTAAACACTTAAAAAACTCTCTTTTGTGCTCTCTTCCACTTTCCCAATCAGGATTAAAAATGGTTGTAATCATTTGGGGGATTTTGAGACGGCAGAGTTTCTTGAGCAGAGGCTGATTTGAATAAATGATATCCTGGGGTATTTCCCTGCAGGCTCTGCAGGTGATGCTGAGCATCGCAAGCAGTTCTGCCTCTGTGGCTTTGGCCACCTGAGCGGATCCGACAGCTTCATGTGAATCTACGCTTCTGCTTGACATCCCGTCCTGAAAACATGTGGCTGTTTCTGGCCATTTCTTCCTCCCTCTCCACCCCAGCAGCAGGAGGGACCTGTCCAAGCCCTGCAGGGCTGCCAGCATTGATTCTCCAGTGCAGTGCTCTCTGTTTCTGAAAAGGAGTGGGGGGCTCCCCCTGCCTCCAGGTTTTTGGACCCAGATCCCTGCTTGAATGGCCTTCATGGCAGGAACAACCCCTCCCGTGGGCCATGAAGCCATCCAGCCCCCTGCCCTGGGAGACTGAAGGCACCCCCACATCACCTGGGCTGTGAAGGCAGGGAAGCAGCCGGGGGCACCCGTGGGGCAGATGAGAAGGGAGGGGGCCTAGTGCCATGGGGCAGCGATGATGGAGGACCTGGGCTGAGGTCGAGGGAGATACGGGGAGGGAGCCCTGGCTGAATGCTTTTCGCCTTTGGGGGAAGAGGTTGGGTTGAAGAAGCAGCTTCTGGGGCTCCTCAGCTCCAGTGATTAGAAATGGGATTGCCAACCCAGCCGGCCAGCCCAGGGATGCGGGGTGCTGCCTGCCTCCCCTGACCTCCATCCAGGCCCCATCCTGCTTTGACAGACACTTTCCAAGCACACTCCAGTTCCAGGAGATGTTGGTGGGGCAGCTTTGCATGCTCCTTCAGCCCCCGAAGCAGAGGTGATGCTCTGCAGTGCTGCAGGTGCTGGGCATGGCTCCTGAGCTGCTGGCTCTAAATTTGTCCAGCTTTTTATTTTTCTAATGCAGCTTTTGAAAATGCAAGCAGTAAATCCATGGGGGGCTCAAGACAAGCTCTCAAGACCCTGCTCACCACAACTGTTTCTCCCAAATCAGCCCCACCATCTAACAAGAGCTTGTTTTTCTGTTTCTTGCAGTAACGTGGACACAGAGAAATTGTGCGGTAAGTAGGGTGATATTCCTGCCTCGGAGAGTTTCCTCTCTTGAGGGTCTGTGGGGGATCTTTGTGCACCTCTGACCTGCGCAGGACTGGGCAGTCAACTGGCATTGACAGTCCCTGTGCCTGAATCCCAGCACAGAGGGCATCCGTGCTTTTCCCAAGGGGAGGGGACATTTTGTCCCTGGGGATAGGAAAGGACTCTTCATTTCAGTCCAGGTGGGAACGTGACTCTGGAGGGGGACGCGAATAACCCCCTGCAGCGCTGGGCTGTGAGTGCAGCAGGTGCAGGGCAGGCAGAGATGGAGGCACGCGGGAAGCTCACTATGATCTTCTCTCCTGCTTCAGATTATTTCTCAGCGTATCTTGGAGAATACAGGAACGTGCTTTCTGCCCTGGAAGCCCTCAACTCTGCAGTCCTGGCAGCCATGGACAAAACCAAGCTGGTAAGGACGGGACCGTGGGAGAGTGGTGGGGCAGGCGGTGCATAACAGAAGCCGTGGTGATCTTAGCTTCTTGCTTAGCATTAAACTTAGGTGTCAGAGGCAGCAAATGTGGTACCTCACAGAGACCAACAGAGTTGCCTGTGCGTGCTTCGGTTGTCTCCATGCGCAGTGAGTCCTCCAGCAGCACAGCCTGCATGCAGCATGCCTGAAGGAGGAGAAGCCATGCCGGAGGAGAAGGGTAGAGCTAGTGCTTTTGTGCTCTGGAGACATCGTCTTCCTCACAGGGCTCTGGCAGCGGTAGTTTCAGCAGCTCCTTGCAGACCACTTGCAGGGTCCTGCCTGGGGACAGTGTCTCTGGGAGCATCGCTGATAAACCGTGTGTTGTGTCTCTGAGCCAAAGCAAGGTCTTTTCCACAAAGCAGTGTGGTGCAAAATGGGGACTCCAGGTTCAAGCCTGCTCTGGACTGACCCCAGCAGCTTGTGCTCAGCACAGCCTGTGCTCACAGCAACAAAAATTCGCTGCCGGAGAGGGGGCAGGAGGGCTGCTTTGGGGAGCAGCAAAGCGCTCGGGAGAAGGGAGGAAATGGTGAAATTCATTGACTCCCAGCCTTGTGGTGAGTTCATCCCTGCGGTGAATGCTCTCCCTGCAGCTTGTACTAATGGGAGGCAGATTGGAGGCTGCTAATTAGGGCAAGCAGCCTCCTGCTTTGTGAGCCCCCCTGCCTCTGTGTCGGAGAGCAGAGGTCTGCAGTGCGCAGCGTCGTGGGCTAAATACAGATGTGAAAAAGCACTGACCAATACTGGAAGGGGCCCTCCTCGGGGACCAGCAGCCCCCTTTGCATCTGAAATGTATTAAATGATTTAGCTGTATGCTTGGGGCTGATGCCGTTTGACACCTGCGGGAAGGGCCGGCACTTGCTTTCCCTTTGATGTGGTGGTCTGATGGTTGGTAGGAAGCGGATGAAGGGCATCATCCATGTGCACGCTGTCCACTGACCTATTGATCAGACAGAGCAGCAAAGGGGGACCAGTCCCGCTGTCAGCTCTGCGCAGTCATGGCAGTGGTGTTTGTGCCTCTGTGGTGTCAGTCACGATCTTGCCCTCTCTTTGAGTTTTCCTCTGGCTGGATCCAGCCTCAGCAGCATCTCCCTGTATGCTGGGAAATTTCATGCCAGGAGTGGGAATCACTTGAAAATGCATTTTCTCTTTGGTTCAGCTGTCTGGCCCCCTTCACAGTTATTAAATACAAGTCCAGAGGGAAAGAATGAATCCTCTTTAGAGACCTGTGCTTTATTTCAGTTTTTTTCTGCTTTGGGGTTTTTTTTTTTTGGTAATGAATTTGTATATTCATGTATTTCTCCAAGGGACAGCACAATTACTGTCTGCTTCACGGTATTGGTATCATGCATTCATTCACCTAATAGTTTCTGGTGCCACAGGTGTTCCCTGGAAAAGAGGAGCAGGTTTTCCCTGTTGAAACAGATTTTTGTGGATTTGCTTTTCCATCCCTGTTTGGATCCTCCTGGAGCCAGGGCAGCCCGATGTTCACAGCGCTGCTCTCACCCAGGCGAGGTCTGCGCTGATCGGGTGCTCTGATCCCAGCCCTGAGCTCCTGGGTGCCCCGATGCAGATACTGACCCTCCCAGGAAGCCTCTCCCTGCACTTCCCTGGCTCTGAGCTGGGGAGAGGGCAGGAGAGGGCAATGCTCCAACCCCATGGTCAGGGCTTTTGCAGAACTGTGGGAAATCTGCCGCTGCTAGAGGCTGGCAGAAATGATAAATGCTGCATTCTCACCTGCTGTGACCTGAATATATTCCCACATTTGTATTTTCAGAATGGAACTCAGTCTTGGATTGTTATGGGATTAGTGGGTTTATTAGGTTGGGTTTTAGCCAAACTCACACCTCTCAGCTCGGGGAGGGGGTGGAGAACAGAGATTTTCCATATTACACACCTGTCCCTCATTTCTATTGATTCAAGCACCTCTAACACCACCATGGCTGAGGACTGAGAGCCCCAGTTTGACAGAGACACCACCCTCCTGGAAGAGTCGAATGAAACTTCATCCCAGGGAGCTGCTTTTGCTGGAGATGCAGGTGTGCTGTGTGCTGAGAAAACTGGAAGAGATCTGCCTGGTCCAGTGGTCCTCTTCATAAAGCTCTGCTTCCAGAGCAGGGCTGTGGAGTCAACAGATGTTGAAGGATCTGCAGTCCCTGCCCATTTTTCCCAGGCTGTATTTAAGAGAGCTTCGTGTGACTCCTGAGGAGGCAGTGATACCTGGGCTAGTTAGGAGAAGGGGATCTCTGACTTGAGCTGGGTTTCTCCATTTGAACCACAGCATCTTGTGGATAGGGCATGGTCCATCTCCAGTCGTTCCTTACTTCTGCTGCCACGCGATTCCTCACCCTGCATCCTCCAGGTACTTACCCACAGCTGTAAATAGGCTCATGAAAAAACGAGCTTACTTTACAAGGAGGAAAACAGAGAGAGCATGGGCTGCTTCGTTAGCACAACAAAAGCAGAGCCTGGGAGGGGAGCTTGGCTTGCCCAGACCACAACAGGGCAATGAGCTACAGGGAGGAGAGAGAGGGGAAATAAGGAAACCAAAACTCGGAGGGAATATGCCGTGGCTCTGTGTTTGGCAGCTGTGGTTTGAAGCAGTGCCACCAAAAGCCTTTTCGGTATCGCGGATTCCCACCTCCGCGCGTGCCATCGCGGTCACTGCGGGTCAGGGTACCTGGCGTGGATAAACGGCGTGTCTCAGCAGCTGTCTCCTTGCTGCCAGGCTCCTTGATCTGCTGCCTGCCGTGCACGTTGTCGACTGCAGAATAAACACTGAGATAAAGCATGGGAAACGTAAGCTTGGTTTGTCCTTCTCGCTGTGTAAGTGTCCGCAGTTACTGTAGGAACTAGTGTACGTGTGGGCCGCAAACCTGCTTGTGGTTTTTTTTTATGGATCCACAGGTTGGCAGGAGGAAACCAGATCATTAGGGGTTCCTATGCTCACATCCTTCCTCACTGGGTTGGTAGAAACATGGTAAGGAAAAGATGTCTTCTCAAGAAAAGCATGTTTTTCTCCAAATTCTGTCATGCCCACTTACATTTTTGAAATATAACTTGTTAGCTATGCTGCAGTATACTAACTAAAGCTTATCTTGTGGCTAAACTTTGCATTTGCAATATAATAGTGTCAGAGTAAGAAGTGAACTATGGAAATACCTTGGGAAACAGTGATATTTCTCACAGGGGACCTGTATGCTAAAATCTTTGCATTCTCCAGTTTGCAGACACTGCAAACTGGCCCATAAATACCTCTCCAACTCAGGTGCTTTTATTTCTCCTTTAGCAGGAATTTTGTGATCATCTATTCCATTCTGTCCTGAGCTTAGCTATCATCATAAGAAACTACTAAAACTCCTCAAAAGCAGAATTATTGCAGCTGTTGGCAACTTTGGGATTTTCATCTGGGTCAACAGAACTGAAATACCAGTCCACAACCAAAAAGCCTTGTCTCATGCTCGCTAAGTTATTTCCTCTGTGACTCCTTTCCATGAATCTTTGCTATGAGCAGAAAATGTTGTGCTCGGTGAGACAGAGCACATTTTTATTGAGCTTCTATTTACAGAGGGGTTTGAACTGGGTGGTGCAACACCTGACAAGAGGTTTTTGCTTGTTTATCCCAAAATGGGGAGTGCAAAGGTGGCTGGGCAGCTGAACTGAAGGGAAGGTGCATTTTTCAATTGATTCCCTCCCCTGGCATGAAATTTTCCAAGTCAATGCAGAAGGGTGAAACAGTATTTGGGGCTCTTTTGAGAGATGGTTCTTTTCATCCTTCCCTCTGGAGCATTCCCCTGGGCGTGTCGTGTTTGACGAGGCGAGAGACGGGAGGCAGCTGGCTCGTCATGCGCAGTGCTCGGCGAAATACTGGTGTGTCCAGCGTGGGATCCTGCTTTGCCCTTGCAAGGTGGGCTGGAACGTGCTGGGACCAGGAGGACGGGGAGCCCTCTGCACGGCGAGCTTCAGAGCCGAGTCCCCTCCCAGCACGGTGTGCGCTGGGCTGGTAGTTGGGTTTTGGGGGGTGGCACCCCAGGCTGGCGCCTGTGCCTGCGTGTTTGGGGTGTAAAAACTGCAGTAAGGTGAGCCGCGGGGCTCAGGGCAGGCCGAATGTGCCCCCCGCAGCCCTGACACGATGTCGGTGGGAGCAGCTGCCTGCTCCCGCGGTAAAACTCCATCCACCGACATCATCTGCGGAGGACATCAGGATTAGGCCATCCTCAGGATGAAAGTTGAGAGGATGGGGAGTGCTGCGAGGCTGGCTTGACGCCGGGGCTCCTCCCAGCACCTGCCCCTTTGAAGGGGAGCAGTGCGCTTGGGGAGAAGCATCCGGCCGCCGTGCAAGGGGAAGCGTCCATATGCCAAGGCTGTGGGGGCCACAGCCGGCCCTGGCGGGGGGCTGCAGAGGATCTGTCGGAGATGGAGCACACCTCATTAAGTGGGACCGCATGGCTGCGGAGGCTGCTTGCTGTGGGAAGTGTCCTCTGTGCAGAAAGAGGGGTGACAGCGTTTGGATTTGGACCAGCTCCTGAAATGAAATGGACTGTGCCCAGCCATGCAGTGGATGAATAATGTATCCTTTCCGCTGCGCCCCGGTGGGGACTCAGTCAATTAGTATTCCTCACCTTTCTTTCTTGAGCTTGTCCTGGGGAGGTCTGAGTGTCAGTTGTTCCCCTGTGAGCAGGGGATGTGTGTCTGGGCTGCGGGAGCTGAGCAAGCACAGAGGAGCGACACTGGCAGGGATTTCAGGGTCTGCACCCCTTGGGAGTGAGGAGGTGAAGGAGTGGGCAGGGAGAGTGGCTGCATCCCTGCCTGGGGTCCCCAGCCCTGCACCCTCCATCTTCTGGGGCTGAGGGGAAGGAAGGCCCGTGGGAGCAGGTGGAATGCTTGGCTGGGGAAAGCCCGGAGATACAGAGCTGAGACTCATCTTCCCATGGCCGCATCGGATCGGCTTTGCTGCCATCCTCTTCCTCTGGCAGAAAAACGAGATTCATTTTCAAGCACGGATGAAAACCCACTGGCAGCACGGCCACGGGGTGGAGGGCTCTGGTCCCCTGGGTGGGGAGCGGCTGTGGCTGTCCTTGGCCCACGCCAGCAGGAGCCCAGGGCAGTGCTCGGCAGATGAGCATCCTTTCCACTTACCTTCCCTTCCTGGCCAGCTACAGCTGTGCCAGCACCCCCAGGCAGACACAGCTCTGGGACTGGGCTGGTGGCTTGGCTGTGGCACAGAGGAACCAGAAAACCATGTGGGGCTCAAGACGCTCCTGCTGCCCCCCCTCCTCAACAGAGTTTTGATACCAGCATCAGAAGGGTTACGTCTGCATGCTTTTGTGCAGAGCTTCTGGAATTCAAGATCCTCAGTTCTGCCATGGGTTGGAGAGAAACACAGTAGGAATTGGAAATATTTGACCTGAGTAATGTGGTAGCATTGCTGGACTCTATTTTGGACATGAAAGAGGGAGTTCATGGTGCTCGGGATGTGAAGGCAGCCTGGCTCCTGGTCTGTGCCGCAGCCTTGGAGCACCTGAGGACACCACAGGGAAGGCAGAGGTGACTCTGGTCCACTCTGTTCTCCTTGTCAAGGAAAGGGGTTGACCTCTGCTGGTGGATGCTCCTGTGGAGCAACCAGGCCTCCTGCATCACATGGAGACTCCTTCCTTGACTTCCCACTGCCAGTCCTGTCTCTTGGTGCTCACAGTGATGTCCCGTGGTTTCTGTGTCCGTTGAGGAGCCAGGCACGGAGGCTGGCCGTGGGGAAAGGAGTCTGCTATGGCAGCTGGGCAGTGCTTCCCAGCTGCTTCCCCCGTGCAACCTCTGATCCTTTTTTAACTGTCTGCTAAGCTGAGTCAGTTCACTAAAGCAGCAGCAAAGCCAGGTGAGTGCTTTTCTGCCCGTTCAGTGAGCTGACTCGACTCCCTGAAGCACCAAATGACCTTTATACCAAAATTACAAAAAGCGAATTCAGTTTCCTGGTTTTCACCAGCTCTGTGCCCAGTGCTGAGCTGCTTCAGTGCCAAGATCAGAAATCACCTCCCATAGTAAAGCTGCGGCGGTGCAGGCGCTGCGTGGACCTTCTCCTCCTCAGCTCGTTCCTCCCACCCCTGTGGCTCCCTGTGGACCTCGGGGTCCTGCTGCACTGACTGCTGGAAGGAGATTTCCTGCCTGCTGGAGCATTCCCCTTCCCCACGCTGGCAGCTGCAGGCAGGGCATTCGAAAAGGACAGCTTTGCTGCAGACATGCACGGCCTCCAGCCTGGAGTGCCAGGGCTTGGTTGGCAACCGGCTGTTCCCAGACAGTTGGCGATGCCCGCATTCTCAGCACGAGCTGCGGTTGTGGTGGCAGCCTGATCGGACACATGCTTCTTAGAGTGATGGTGGGTAGGCACAGAAATAACCCGGAGTGTCAGTGAAAACCAGTTTTCTTTTGGAGCATTTGAATTGACTTCGCACGCCTGCAGCAGCGCAGGAGCTGGCCCTCGGACTCTACTGCTGCTGCAGCTCTGCCCGGAGCAAGGCTGTGTTTCAGAGACCGTCCTCCTGCAGCGGGAGCTGTGTCCTGCTGGTGGGATGCTTTCAATGCATGGTCATCATCGGCCTACTGGAACATCTCATGTACGTACTTGGCACCGTGCTCCTGAGACTGGTCCTTTGCCATCCATACATACTGGAAGGATGTGAGTGATGCTGCCATGGAGCCCCCCACCCAGGCTGCTATGTCCCTTTCCGGGCTTGCCAGGACCTGAATCTGGCAGCCCATGCTGTGGAACAGGGTGTTCAACTCTAAGCACATCCTCTCGGGAAAGCCAGGAAACATCGAGGAGCCCCCTGACAGTGCGATGTTACCCACCGTGTCCCTCCTGGCGTGGTCGGGTACCTTCTGGAGGCTCTGCAAGGCCAAGTGGTGGAGCCCTAGGGAGCTTTGGTGGAGTAGCTTTGGTTGGAAGA